TTGCACAATGTTTATGGTGAATCATAGTGATGCTTTCATCATAGTTCCTGGTTGATATGGTACTTTAATGACCATGTTTACTATTGTTTCTTGGGCAAACATGAAACTTCATAATAAGCCCATTGGTCTATTAAATTCCCATCACTTCTTCAATGGCTTTCTTGGTTTCCTTGATGAAAGTTTATTTCAGACTTTTAATTCTGATTCCACTAGAGAGATCTTCAAATGTGCAGATACTGCTGCTGGACTTATCCAGAAACTTCAAGAAAACGTCACTTCTCAAGTTTCTGTGAGGTCACACGACTGGTCACATGACCGGGCACACAATTCGTGTGATGTCACACGACTGGTCACACGACTCGTTTGGAAAAGCCGAAACTAACATTCCATCTGCTCTTTTACCACACGACTCGGGTGGCTTGTCACACGACTCGTGTGGAACTGCAGATTTCTCTCTTTAACTTAATTTAAATATACTAAAATGTCCACATAAATTATCTTACTCAAAAGCCCCATAATTTTCATAACAACTTCTCCGAACAACTCTGAAGTTCGAACTTATAACTTAATAACTAGCCTCGGGACTAGGAACGAATATTATTAATAAAAGTAAATAGTTCAAACTCTGATCTAAAATAATTACTCTTATTAATAACTGAATGGGATATTACAGTTTGGCCTATAGCCTAGTCCTAATAGGAGAAGCCCAATTTAATGTCTCCTTAGGTTCCCTATTGAAGCCTATAAATACACCTATTCTCTAGTCTTTCAAGATATAACACATATCGAGATGTCTAGATTCTCTTTCCCAACAAGGGTGTTTTGGAGGTGTTAGATAATTCAATAGAAGATCTTAGGATAGTCGAGCACCCGTGCCAACCCAAGCACCCGACTGCCGTCGACCGTAGATCACCTCCGAGCACCGCGTGCAAGACGACCCGAGTTCACTGGAGACGCTCGGGAAGACCTGCTCCATCACAATGCCCAGTCCACGCCGCCTCGCTTCTCCTGGAGATCACCTGCTGCACCCGACGTCGATGCCATGCACCCGTGACAATACCACGACCTGCTCGATGCCATGCGACCCAAGACGGACCTCCCGATACCATACGTGACCCACTTGCTCTTTTCCGCACGCAGAGACCCGCGTAGTCCCGTGAAGGCTCGTTCGGCTGCCTAACGGACTTTGAGATTAGACGATCTCCTCCAAAGGAAATCTACAACGTCTTAGAGTCGGCAAAAATATTAAACCTTGAGTCTTCTACTTTTACCTATAGACCCGCTGCGCATAGGTAATTTTGTAGTTAAATTAGTAACTTGCACATTAGCAACGGTCCTTACAGATACCAACAAGTGGTATCAGAGCTCACGTTTAATGCGTTTTTGTGCAAAGTTTAAATTTTTAAGGCTTACTTGAATTATGTGTGTTCAAACTCAGCCATAATTT